TTCCAATTTCAAGTTGAATTATATTAATCGTTCAACGTCCAATTCTAAGAGATTCTCAATCGCTTAACATTAATCATTTCTAAGAAGTTTTCTTACTTTCTTCTTACTAAAAGTTCGGACCAGTCGCATGAACTTCTTCCCCCGTTTGTGCCACCTTCGCTGTCGCCCCCTCCCCCCCGACTCGTTCATCCACCCACAAAGACCCTTTACCTTACAGTCGCTAGTTCGTATTCAATAAGAACACTAAAGTATTCAAGGGAAACTTTCCTTTCTTAAGCGATCGAATAAACGATTCGCGAGAAATAGGCACGTTAGAAGACCGGCTCGTTTAAGTTGGTGGTAGGTGGTACTACTATGAAGGGGGTCTTTGCACGTTACGGTCAACGTGCTTGCTATAATAAAACTATTCCTGTCTTTGCGGGACATGAGAGGAGGTTGGGTAAAACGCAATGACGAAGGAAGGAAGGATAGGCGGGCGGGCGGAAGGAAGGTAGGAAGGTAGGTAGGTAGGTAGGGTCGAATCCCATAGGATATAAATGCCACAGGGGTATTTCGTTTGGACCATGGCCGTCGACGTCCTCTAGCTTGTTCTCTTCGTCTTAGCCCTTCGTCCTTTTCCATCTAAGTTGGTCGTCTCCCCGTAGATTCAATCACGACCCTTCCTATACCGAAGAAACTCGAGCGACGAATACCAAGCAGTTCGACTTAGGTATTAGGATCGTCCTACCGTCGTCTTTCTCGTCTTCTTTGATCGTGACAAGAATCGTGCTCAAACTGACCGTTCCCATATAGCACGCGTCTCTTTAAATGGTTCACCGCGTTCGCGATCAATTTCTTATACTTTTCGTCATTTATTTTCTTCTATTCTTCTTCTCTCTCTTTCTCTCTCTCTCTCTTTCTCTCTCTCTCTCGTTCTCTCCCTTTTTTTATTATTTCTTTTATCTTCCTTCTTTTTTGCTTGAAAATTCACGATAGGTATCGTGAAGTGGGATCATTTCTTTTCTTCTTTTTTTTATTTTTTTATCAAACGAGAAAAGGGAAAAACGATTCTCGATTAAATGAATCTCTCTCCTTCTCAGAAATGAAAAATGATTCATGATTCTTTCGAGAGAGAGAAAGAGAGAGAGAGAGAGAGAGAGAGAGAGAGATGGGAGAGAAGGAAGGAGTAAGAAAGATAAGAGAAACACCGTGCAAGGTCGAAAACCTTTAAAAGAGACAGGTTTGCGTTTACTATAATATTGAATATGGAATCCCATAAGTCGAGCGATAATGCAATATGCCGACGTCAGGTCTTGGGGTTAGAAGGCGACGTTACGTCGGCTTGGAATAAGGGTAAAAGCGTTGAGAATTTAGTAGGAGAGTCTCTATTAAATCTGGATATATACCATATGGAGATCTCACTCTCTCACTTTCTCTTTTTCTCTATTTCTTTTCAATTTTCTTTCGAACGATCATAATTTGTCAAAAGGAAGGAAAAAAAAAGAAAATAGTAAAAATATGATAATTCGAAAAGCTGATTCGTTTCTAAAAAAAAAAAAAAAAGGGCAGAAGACGAAAAGGAGAAAAGAAGAAGAGAAAAAAAAAGAGAAAAAGAAGGAAAGAGAAAGAGAGAGAGAGAGAGAGAGAGGGAAAAAAGAAATAAAAACGTCCGAAAGGAATAAACAAACGATGTGGCACATGCGCGTCATGGTCGTCGAGTCCTCGCTCTTTTCTTTTTCCTTTTTTTTTTCTTTTTTTTTCTTTTTTTTTTTTTTTTTTTGGTTTTATATCTTCGCATAGCCGAAGTACCTACTTGATGGAAACGCGAAATAACGATATTGACTTCGATCTCTCTCCCGAGAAACACAGTTAGACGGCAGTAAAAGGGTCTCACCGTCTTTACGGATCGACTATAACGTTCAGCATTTCACCGGGTCTCCTTTCCTCCTTTCCATTGGACATTTCGACGCTCGTATTTTAGCGAGTACCCGTAAGCAGCTGCTTTTCAATAGGCAAGGAAGAAAAGAGGGGAGAGAGAGAGAGAGAGAGAGAGAAGAGAGTGATGGTAAGATTCAATGGTTCCACGACACCATGATTCTTTCACAAAGTTACGACGCGATCGACGGATGGAAGGGTCGATTAATTTAAGATACGTTTGGTCATTCTTCGAAATCGACACGCCCTTCCAATTTCATTGATATCGCATTCTTAACGGCCCTCAGTCGTGTTGTCGTTAATTAGAATTTTTCTTTTTTTTTTTTTTTTTTCTTTCTTTCTTTTTTTCTCTTTCTTTTTCTTCTTCTTCTTCTTCTTCTTCTTCTCCTCCCTACCCATAGAACAGCAGGAATTCTCTTCTCTTTTGGTTATGACTCACGTGAGAAGCACAGCGAGAGTTTACGTCTAAAACTAGTAACTTGAAATATTTATGGCTCGTTCGTTCGTTCTTTGTCCGTCGACTCGTGCTACAAATAGATGGATTATAATTAATTGCAGAGATCTCTCTCTCTCTCTCTCTCTTTCTCTCTCAGCAAGGAGGGTTGCGTAGATTCTATTTTCTTTTTTATCGAAAATGAGATTTACCGTTTGCAATTATTGCTATTGTTATTATTATTATTTTATTATTATTATTATTATTATTATTATTATTATTATTATTAATAATGTAAAATTAACATCGTCATGTCGTCATTTTTGTAATGTAATACAGTAGAGCTTAATTTATCGATATTGTATCGATGATTGTATAGAAAACTTTTTCATTTATTTTGAATATTTTTCTAGAAAAGTTTCGAGAAACTATTGAAACGTAAGCATGTTAAACAACAACAACAACAACAATTGATTTTGATCATTGAAATTAAAAAAGGATGATTAATATTTGGACGGATTTTTTTTGTATTTCATTTATTTATTAATTATTTAATCTTTTTTTCCGACAGTATGAAAGAAACGAAAAGGAATTCAATAATTTTTATAAATCATTTTTCGTAGATAACTATATTAGGATCTGACAACGTTGTTTTCTCTTTTCTTCTGCTGTTATGTGACTTTTATAGAGAAGAAGGAAAATAATAGAATTTGTAATTTACACAAAGGAATTTTATCTCATAAATTTGTACGACAAAAATTAATTTCTACGTCAAAATTCCTTTGTCACGTCTCGTACACTAATTGCATTATTATAGATATAGGTTTTAAGAATGGATTAAGAATAAAAAAAAAAAATAAACAAGAAGAACAAAAAAGAAAGAATAAGTTTAGTTTACGTTTCAACTTCCTTATAAATGCGTATTATGTTCTCATAAATCTCATATCTCGTCATCTGAACAATTTTAACATTTCAACATAATTTTTCTCCATTAAATGACAACTATTGCAATAACATAATTTGTATCATGACGTTATATATAGATAACGTCAATTTTATACTAGGACGTAAGGCATTAGATTTTTTTTTTCTTTTTTTTTAATTTAATTCAAGCAATGGCTAACAAATAAGACTGGATTATAATCAAATACATTATATAATCAAATACAAATTGTTTACAAATCAAAGATTAATTTGAATATCTCGTTTTTTTAGATGCAATAGAAAAATCAAGAAAAAAGCGAAAATATGAAAAAAAGAAAAAAAAAAAAAGAAACAAAAATTATATTTCGAAATAAAATGAAATAAAACGACCTCATATGTCAAAATATATTAACGTTATCAGATATGTTTATGTATCTAAATAAAAACAAAAAACAAAAGCAAACATTCTAATCTAATCGCTGAAATTAAGCAACGATTGGATTCACATTATGAATTTCTCTCTCTCTCCCCCCTCTCTTTCTCCGTCATTCGTTTTCTTGATTCTTCAAATAACAAATAATCATATCGGCGTAATTTAAAGTATAATCCTAATACAAATTTTGAAAAGATGAATATATCGCTCTCGTGAAGATAATAGCGGTAGTAAGTAAGCTCCTAATTCGTCGCAGCAATAGAGCTTATCTTTGGTCAAGTAGATCCCGAACACGCGCGCGCGCGGGCGCATGTTCACACGGTATACACATGGAAACATCCGAAACGGTACGATAACATTTTAGTTTAAATTTCGGCCGCTGGCCCGAGGCAAGCCGCGGGCTGATTTAAGGCCTCTATACGCGCGTAAACGTACTGCTGGTGTTGGCCTCGGAGGGGTAGAAAGCTTTCCCTAACGGTGAGCCGTATGCCAACCGGTAGATAGTCGGTTGCGATAAGCTAAATGCTCGGGATCCCCTCCCCATATTACACAGGTTATACACCATAGCACTGGCGCGACAAGCTTCCGAGAGAGCAGCCAACTATTCCCCTTCTCCTTCTCCTTCCCTTCCTTCCCCTCTCCTGATCCCCTCTGTACCTTTCTCTCTCTCTCTCTCTCTCTCTCTCTCTCTCTCTCTCTCTCTCTTTCTCACTATCTTTCTATCTCTTTCCTTCTCATCATTCCTCTTCTTTTGCAAAAATGGATCATTTTGAAAAAATGGAAGTTACTTTTTAACTACCGTTCAAATCTACTCTATCATATTATCTAATTTACGTTACTTCATGTGATTTGATAAACATCGGCTATTGGGTAAATAAATTAGATAATAGATTTATCTTGTTTCTCGATCTTATCGAAATTTTCGACAAAATAAATAACATCAGTTTTTGTGGATTAAAGGAAAATATGAATTTTATTATCGAAATGAAAATAATTTATATTTTACAATTATGATAAAAATTTATATCAAGGATGAGAGAGAGAGATAGAGAGAGGAAGAGAGAGAATTCATTTAATTCAAGATTACTCAAGGGAACAGAAATCGACTGTGATAGAGAAACGGAATGATATATTGAACTGTTTGATATTATATCCGAACGGACCGAACGAAATCTGAGCTCAATTTCCGGTTTTGGGTTACGCCCTAAACTATTAGATAATTTCGTAGATTTCTTTTTTTCCACGATAAAAAAATAATAAAAAAGAAAAGAAAAATTTACGGAAAGAAGAAAGAAATTCAGTGAGAAAATCTATTTGATGATAATTCGCTTATAATGATAATTCATCTGGCATATATTATTTTCTTCCAAAGACTTCTCACTTTTTTTGAATGAAATCTATTGGAAATGTTAGATCGGTGTCCTTCATATTCTCTTCGATCCAAGCATCGAATTTTTCTTCGAGTTCTTTTGTGAACATTTCTTTCCAACCTCCGACCTTGCCTTTCCGTATGAACATGCTTGGCTGTATCTTTTCGTTATTTCTAGGTGACGGTATATTCACCATAGGATTCTTTCGAAAATTATCTATTTGAAGATGATCAATTAGCTTCAATATCTCCTCTTCGTTGTAAGATTTTCCAAAGAATTTTGCCACTTTCTTAATGGTATTAGATAAGTCCTGTAAAAGAAATAATAAGATTTTCTTTTTTTCTTTTGTCGATATATATTTATAATTATAATTTATTAATAATTAAAGTTATTTTTAAGATCTCACGTTTAATAGCTCTTCGTAGAATATAAATAGCAAGTTCGAACGATGTCTCTCAGCCCAGGCAGTTTTCAAGTGCAACCAATAGGGACTGTAAACAGCTTAAATATAAGAAATATAGAATATAGGATCAATTGAAAAAAGATTCTTCATTGATTTGATTTCTAAATTGATTTGAACTTACTTAAATCCTTCATAAAGTATTCACAAAATTCTTCGAAAGTTCCCTGATATTCTAATCCCTTGATAACCTGTAGAAAGTAATACCAGGACACCACCATGTCTTTTGGATTACGTGCCACGTAAACGATCTAATTGATTCACAAAATATCTTAACATTATCTTAAATATCAAGAATATTATGAATAAACTTATAACATATATCAATCCATACATACCTTACAATTACTATCGAGAAGATTAGGCATTAATTCAAATGGCATATGGGTTTTGATGAATCGTGGGGATGATAATTTACTGGCGAATTCTGGATTCAATCTTGGACTTTTATCCGACGGATTTGATAGAGCATCTTCATAATCGCCTATCAATATGTCAAGCCTATAAAACGATAAGACATATAAGCAACTATTGATAATACGATAAACTTTACGAACGGGTAATAGACATTTATTTTAATGGGTTCTTTTATCTTTATAAATAAACATATAATATATAACGAGAAGTTAACGGACTAGTCGAAGTTTAACTTACTCGAAAAATGGAAATCTATAATGTAGACTTCGTTTCTTTGCTTCATCGAAGTTCATGTCGTTCGCAACCAACCAAACCAGTTCCAATGTCAATGTGGTACCTAACACATAGGATACAAATTGTCTATCGTAAAGTAGGCATATACAATCGAAACAACTATCTATGTATTTATCGTGGCAACGAGTTAAGTAACTTACTAAAACATTATCACGGATATCATTATCGCGATTTCTGTATTTAAATCATAACGACCGGATATGTATTTGAATAATTATATATTGTTTATTAAGCTAAAACGGATTGATCTAAAAACTGTAGCTTTCAAATTGTGTTGATAAATCTATAGAGAGAGAGAGAGATAGAGAGAAAGAGAGAGAAATTTTCTAAAACAAAAAAAAAAAAAAAGAAAAATAAAAAGAAGACTTTACTAGTTAGCTCATTAAATATTTATTATTTTTATTGTTCGATTGTTAGAAATTGTCAAAAGTTTTAAATGTTTTGTGTTGATAAGAAAAAAAGTGTTGACAAAGAAAAAAAAAAAAAAAAGAAAAAAAAAGAATAGTTTTTAAATTTTAAAAGAATAGTTTTAATTTTGTTCACAAAATAAGATAAATTATTGGAAAAAGATAAGATCGAATTAAGTAATAATTATAATAATAATAATAATAATAATAATAATAATAATAATAATAATAATAATAATAATAATAATAATAATAATAATAATTAATAATAATAATTATTAAATTTAATTATTAGTAATTAATAAATAATAATAATAATAATAATAATAATAATAATAATAATAATAATAATAATAATTAATAATAATAATTATTAAATTTAATTATTAGTAATTAATAAATAATAATAACAATAATAATAATAATAATAATAATAATAATAATAACAATAAATGAAAATTTTGAATAGGTTCGTCAACTTTAATTTACAATTACTATATTTACAAAATCTATATATATAGATTTTTTTTTTCTTTTCTTTTCTTTACTATTTATTGAAAACAAACACGAAATAATATGCAGATCAATATAGAGAGTGTCCAAATATTTCTGTACTAATTAAAATTACAAAAAAGTTTAATAAAATAAAAAAATTTCTTACGACTCCGATATTGATTATTTTGTAAACTATACGTAGTAACAATTTTTCACCATAAATATGATTTTGGTCGCGATTGGCCACTGGTATGTACATAAATGTGTAAAAAAAAAAAAAGAAAGAAAAAGAAAGAAATCAGAAGGAAAGAAAAAACAACAGATTATAGATATTCGTTGAAGAAAAAAAAAAAAAGAAAAAATTATATCGACCTTGATGACTCCAAAAAGGAGTTTTTCTTCTTATGCTTACTTGATAGCTGACTCAGAGCCATGAAAATTTTCCTTATTAAATTTTCTTGCAACTTCTAAACAATTATGAGATATTATTCGCTTTGACATTTATGAACATGATAAACATATAATAAGCTTTATTATAAGGCACGTATTACAAATATAACTATTTCTAATATCAGATTGCTCACAGCTGTTAAATAAAAGAGAAACGAATCGTCAAACACATTTGAATGTTGAAACGTCAACATCAAAAATATTGTTGATTGTACTTATCGAAGATATTAAATATCATCGTATCGAAATCAAATCGTTGAAGTAAATTTTCATAAATAATTAAAAAAAAAAAAATAAATAAATAAATAAAAATAACAAAAAAACCAAAAATATATCGAATTCACCTGATCGAGGATAACTAACGACCCAAGTATCATCAGGTCGAGGCTTTGAATTATATACTGCGACACCTTCCTTGATAAATCTGTACGGCATGGTCCATTTTTGTTCACTAACCCTTATGAAACCTCTTTTGCACAGTTGGAAATATTTATCCGCCAATTTTTTTTCCTCCACGTTAAAAAGGGCGTATTTTGGTATTCCTCCCTCCATTTAATATTATTATTTTTATTAAGAACAAATTAATTTCTATTATTGATCAAAAATTTGCGTTGTTAAATCTTCTCTTATACACGTCTAAACGTTCTCGTATCCTCGTCTTTTATATTATGAGTTTATCAAATGAGTCAACTGTCAGTAACTCGTTTTATAAGCGTTGAACTATATTATCTAGAAATTATCTGAACTTCTATCTTATTTTAACTGAATAGCTTCTAATTTTTCTTTCTTCCTCTTTCTCTCTCTCTCTCTCTCTCATATATATATATATATATATATATATATATATATATATACACATACACACACAATATATATTATATACACAAAGATAAAATAAATATTGCGTGTGTGTATGTATAAATATACATAAAATAAAATGCAAAATGGTGTTTAAAAAAAAAACAATTCACGCACGATTAAAATATAATTATAATTGAAAGTCGACAAATCAAAAGAAAATAATGTCAATTGTTTTATATAAAATAAAGAGTATTAAATAAAATAATAATAAATAAATGAAAATTCCATAAAATGTCTACATGAAATTTTTTGAATATATTGATTATTGATTTTTGAATGTATATCATCAATCATTGATAATGAATTGGATGTATCGATATACATTATCGTCTTATAATTATCTTTAAATAAATATGATAATTAAAAATTTCGTTTTCTAAAAAATTTTAAACCAACAAACGTGATACAATCGTTATCACTTCTTATCTTTTATTACTATTACAATATTTGTGACTATAATATTTAAAAATAGATTCGTACTCTGGTAGAAGAAAGAAAAGATTTTCTTTCGTTTAAAACTTAGAAATGAAGAAGCCTTAGAAATGAAGAAGCCAAAAAAAGAAATGAAAAAAAAAAGGATAAACAAACAAAAACATTAGTACAAGTATTTTAGTTCTAATAAAGTATAATATTTTAATTCTAATAAAATGATATAAAGATCGAATTCTCGGAAGATTTATTAATATTTTCACTGAGTATTAGATATACGTTTGAATAAAACAAAAATACTTATCGTTCGTACGATAAAAGATTAAATCCAATTGATGATAATAAATAATATAAAAAACAAACAAAGAAAAGAAAAAAAGATAATTTTTTTTAGAAATGTTAATTAGTTGATAAGTTAAAGTCTTTTAATTTTTCGTATATTATTTCTCTCAATTAATCTCGTCGATTTTATTTCTTTTCTCGTATATTTTCTGTATTGTTTGTAACATTCTAAGAAAACTTTATTTATCGAATGTGAATTCTCAATTTACTTTATTATTTCTTTTATATATTTAGAAAAGATTAGACGTTAGATAAAACTCAAGAGCTTATCTGCCATCGCGATCGACAAAATCGAAAAAAATATTGCATCTCAATGTCAACATTTTTAATTTTGTCTATTTCCGGTTTCTTCGTTTACTTTGTTTACTTTCTATCACTTAATACTCCTTTATTCCATCATCAATTTCATTAAACGATCATCACAGTAGGGTATGCGTTCAATTTCATTAATAATTCCGATATCAAATATTTCTTTTTAACTTATTATTATTTCTTTTTAACTCTTATGTCCTGATTCGTCATATATTTTTTTCATTATTTTTAGCGTTTTATTTGATTATATTTCTTGTTATCAAAATTAAACGCCCACACTTCTGGTTTCCTAATCTATCTTAAAATTTGTATTTATAGATAATCGTTTAGCGATATTTAACACATTTTCTTGATAACACGATATGAATTTTTTTGTTTATATGGAATATAATCATTCGCATTAAATAAATTACTTCGTTTATTGATCATCGCGAACTATACCTATTTGTTCTTTCTTCG